GATGGCATTCCAGTTGAACTATTTAAAATCTTAAAAGATGATGCTGTTAAGGCGCTACACTCAATATGCCAGCAAGTTTGGAAAAGATCAGTCTACATCCCAATCCCAAAGAAGGGCAGTGCCAAAGAATGCTCCAACTACTGTACAATTGCACTCATTTCACATGCTAGCAAGGTTGTGATCAAAATCCTACAAGGTAGGCTTCAGCAGTATGTGGAACGAGAACTCCCAGAAGTACAAGCTGGATTTCGAAGGGGTAGAAGAACTAGAGAGCAAAATGGCTAACATGCACTTGGTTATGGAGAAGGCCAGAGAGTTCCAGAAAAACATCTACTTTTGCTTCATTGACAATGCAAAAGCCTTTGACTGTATGGACCACAGCAAACAATAGCAAGTTCTTAAAGAAACAGAAGTTCTGAACAGAACTGAGTAAAAATATAGAATCTCCCTCATCTTTAAACAAAAGTCAATTTTTAAAAATGTTTGAAGGCTTCAGTCCTAATTCAGAAGGATATAACCCCTAGTGCACACAAGAGGATGTACTGAACAGTATGTCCAAGCAATACTGCCTTCAGTATTGGGGGTTGCGGTTGTTTGCTATCTTCACCATGAATTTTTTAAAATAATACAATTAACATAAACACATTTTAATAATTATACAGTATTACTTCCAAAAAACAAAAAACAACAACCACCAACCCCAATATAGTTAAGTGGGGGTTTTAAGATCTTGAATCAATTGCCTCAAGGAGTCCTACTGAAATTAAAGAGGACTATTCATGCTCATATGATCTCAGGAGTTGATTGTGACCTAAGTAAATCAACGGAATATGTTAAACAGAAAATAAACCAATTAATCTTTGTAGTGTAAGATGCATATTAGATAAGATGGCTTCTTTGTGCTTAGAGATGCGGCCTCTTGCTCTCAAGAACACCTTTGCTGAGCAATCTTTTAATTAAAAGTTTGAAGTATATGTTTCTTGACTGGTCTGGTACTGGCTACCTCATATAAGATGCTGGCTACCTCATAATACATCAAATATGATGGTCTGGAAATGGTTCAGATTGAGTGGGCTCCTCTCCAACCTAGTTCCTTTCTTTCTTAAACTGTATGATGTTGTTTTAGGCATGGATTTTTTTTAACAAAAGACTTTTACAGTAACAGCTTCATCCTGCATATGTTCACAGAGAAATTTCTATTGTATCATCAGAGGGGTTGCTTCTCAATTAGGTCTGCATCAGATCACATCCTTTGGTATGAAACTTTCTCGGAGGGTCAGCCATACGAAAAGAAACCACGACAATGACGGTGAAGGGAGCTTCCAGTCTGCTCCGTAAAACAGAAGCCTCATCGTATGATCTAACAAGCCTCCACCAGATGGAGCAGCCTGCCATTACTAGGCGATAACGGAGAAGCACTCTGTACGTGCTCAGATGCATCCCCGCTCAATCTCCAACAGTACTACTCACTGAAAACAGGCGCCAAGAATCGCTTCCAAGTAAACACAAGAAAGCAGTTATTTAAGGCCGACAACAATAACCTAATTGATTTATCCAAGCCGGTGAGGAAAGATGGGTCGTTGCGAGGGGCGTAGCTATTAATAACGGCCCCTCAAGCATCAGCTGCTCCCCTCCCTCAAGGAGTTGATGTGAAAGCATCATTGTCCAGACACCGCCTGCGTGCCTCTCTCACAAACCCACAACGCTTGGGCCTTCAGGTTTGAGCTTCAGAAGCCTTTCTGCCGCCAAAGGGAAAGCTTCCCACCGACAAGAAGAACGGAAAGAAAGGGAACGGACATGATGGCGGCAGCCGCGGCCGGATATGCGTGTCCGCCTCCTTCTGCTGTGGGCTGCTGCTGACGCCGCCACCGGCGCAGCTGACTCCGGGCGGGCCCAGCCTCGAAAAAGGAGCCATGCAGCGGTTAACTGTGGAGAGGAGCTGCGAGAGGAGAGGCTGCGCTTCCCTGCCCGGCCATGTAGAGGGGGCCCGTCCCGCTTAGTCCAGCCTGGGAGACAAGCGGCCGCCTCCGTCGGAGGAGAAGGGAAGGGAGGGGAGGAGGGGAGGGGGAAGAAGCGAGAGAAAGCCTGAGAAGGGAGGAGGCGGCGGCAGCAGCAGCTGCGGGGCTCCTGCTGCCTTGTAGGGTGAGAGGGTCGCCGGGGTGAAGCCTTGGGGCGCCATGGAGGACATCAACTCTAACGTGAACGCGGATGCCGAAGTGCGGAAGCTTCAGGAGCTGGTGAAGAAGCTGGAGAAGCAGAACGAGCAGCTTCGCATTCGTAGTGCTGGTGGGGCGCCGGGCGGCAGCCCGAAACGGCTCCTCAGTAGTAGCGGCGGCGGCGGCGG